CTCCAAGAAGGACTGGCGTGGTGGCCGCGCCGGCCCTGGCAACATCATTCCGAGCTCCCCCGGTGCCGCCAAGGCAGTGGCGAAGGTTATTCCGGATGTGAAGGGCAAGCTGACCGGCATGGCTTTGCGCGTGCCGACCATCGATGTCTCCGTGGTCGACCTGACCGTGGAGTTGGAGAAGGAGACCACCTACGAGGAGATCTGCGCCGAGATGAAGAAGCGCTCCGAGGGAGACATGAAGGGCTACCTGGGCTACACGGACGAGGCCTTGGTGTCCACTGACTTCGAGACCAACCCGATCTCTTGCACTTTCGACTCCAAGGCTGGCATTATGCTGGATCCCACCTTCGTCAAGGTCGTCTGCTGGTATGACAACGATTCTTGGGCCATCTTTAATTTCTTATGCTATACTATATTCTTAAGACTTAAACCTCAGCACAAGATAGAATTTGCAAATTGCCTCCAAGAGCACCCCAGGAGTGGGGCTACAGCTGCCGAGTTGTCGACTTGATCAAGCACATGGCCAAGGAGGATGCCAAGGCTTAAGCTGTCCACTCGAGGCTGCAACTGTTTAAGTGAAGCGAGCACCAAGAAGAGTATCCCATGCGATGAGATCGACCACCTGCTGAAATCTCTGAAGCATGTTTTTCTCCGACATCCTGCCCAGCTAACCGGTGCGACCCGCTCTGGCAAAAGAGTCGCAACAAGCAACGGAGGCATGCGGAGGTGGAGGCTTTAATGTGTTAGGACAAAACATGAGTTCAGCGTTGTTGTAGTATAGTTCTGTTCGGTTGCAGCTTCAGCCTTTCAGCCTGCACGCCTGGATGCAACGACAGCTGAGCCAAAGCTGCTGTGAAGAGGCGAGAAAGCAGACTGCCTACGGGGCTACGAGGCAGGAATCTCGGCGAGATTTCCGGGCAAACAGACACCCACTAGACTCACGAAGTGCGAAGCCAGAAGCCAGTGCAGGCAGTGTCGGCAGAGTCAGTGCTTGAATAGATTCAGCTCCTGCTGCATGCCGGATGCTCCGGCGGCCTGCTGCATTTGATGCACCTGGTAACTCCTCCTGAGGCCTGGCTGCTTAAGGAGGCGAAGGCGGGCATGGCGGGCCCGGCCCAAGCCGAGTCCGACAGATATGCTCGGCTCATGGCAAGGACCCTCAATTCTTTCGAACCTCGGATCAGCTGTTGTCGACATGATTGCTGCTATATCGCTCCAAAGGAACATATATGTAAAACCAAAAGTCACGAGCAAACACTTGGAAGCCTGTGCAGGTGCGGAACCCCCACATCCGGACATACGGCCTTGCGTGCGCCCCGGACGGTGTATTTCCGCCGAAGGGAGCAGGGCTTTCGAGGCTGAGAGATGCGCAGGATCTGCCTTGAATCCAGCAAGATGCGTTGGGGCGCGCTTGGCAGATTATAAGTGTGCTCCAAAACGAGCACAGTCCGAAGAGCATGCGCCTAGTCACAGTCTCTGAAGAGATCCATGCCCGCAGTCTGCTACGACAAGTGCCTTTGACGAGAGCCTCCTGTGAAGCGAACCTATAAGACATGAGTGCGCACGGTCGATAGTCATTACAGCGTTACTCAGCCTGAACTAGGCCTGGGGCGTTCCGGGCTGGATCGGAAATGGCACCTTCTTCAGCAAGGCTTGCTGCGTGCTATTGATGGCCTGTTCGAAGAGCGAGTCACTGCGGAGGTGTAGGCTCCAACATGAGTGTCTTTCTCCTTCGAGCCTGACATCCAGTCGTTTGCCCACTAATTTCAACCGGGGGGCCCCTCAACAAAAACTCTAAAAGAGTTTTTCTATTGGGGGCGGGGGGGACATTTTTATCTCTACACGTCACACATTGGGGAGGATGTTGCTCCAGCTCTGGCTCTTGCTCCAGCCAGCTCCCGCTGCGGCTTTTGCGTAGCGGTCCTACTCTTGCTCCTGCTCTTGCTCTTACATCCCCCTAATTCAAAAAAAGGTTGCAAAAGGCGGAGATGATTTCAGGGGGATTCCCCGGAAAAGTGTTTTTTTATCATTATAGGGGATGTTTAATCAGTAAATGGGGAAGTTGTTACATGAATAACCAATATAGACGAGGCGTGCATTGGCATTGGCGGTCCAGTCAGCGGCAAAAAGCTTTGCAGCAGACTGCGGGTTTGAATCAAAAGTCACCGCCGACTGCTACTTTTGGCAGTGCAAGATGTCGGGCTGGACATCTCGCGGATTTGGAGGGGTCTACGTGCACGCCGAATATTTGAAAGGAATAGGGATGAGAAGGCCGATGCGCTTGGAACGAGAGAGACTGAGAGCCTTCTCACTGGAACGCTTCAGTGCAGGACAACATCGTTTACCACGTGTCCTGGCTGAAGTGCATCAAGGCTGGGAGTATTTCAGGTGCAGCACCCATGACTTTATGAGAAAATCTCAAAATGCGTCATTGAAGTTCGTGCTGATGCAGCTTGAGGGGTGTCTTGAGCTTGAAGTGCTGAATTGTCGGACAGGAGACCCTTGACATTGAAATTGACTACGTCGGAATTTGGAACGAGCGAGACTGGGGTGCTGAGCCCCAGACTCCTGCAGACCCATCCTGCTCCGTTTTCAGCTTCGGTTTTCTCCTTTCAAGTGACGTCGGACGTTTTTGTTGCTCCTCACCTCCCTTTTGTCACTGCAAGGTGCAGCTTGGTACGTGTCCGATCTTGCGGCCGCGATCAAGGAAGGGTCGTTTGGTGCCTTTGGGGTCCTGGGCATGCTGAAGCTAGGAAGACATTTGTCCAGTTTCTTGTCAAGCTTGGATACCAGGAAGCAAACTTGACAACCAAGCTGGTAATGCTCGTGTCAGCCTCAGGAATGCAGACAAGAAGCAGCCAAAACTGTTTAGTCGCCGCAGCTCTCGCCGCGATACTTTGTGCATGTGTTATCACGGCATTGGCGTTGTCCGGATTCGGTACAGACAGAGCCGTAGTATTAGCCAGCAGAACCCCTGCTCGTTTTGGGTAATAATACCACCAGTCAACCCATTAGACGATTAT